AAGCGAGCGGTGCATGTCCTGTATGGAGGGATGGGTGTGCCTGCACACAGCAGGCAATACGTCGGCTTCCCCGCCGTCCCTGTCACAACCAATACAAAATGATCGCGAGGCGTCCACGCATGATCCAAATTCTTAACGCTTCGCGAGCCCCCATCAGCCCATCCAGTGACGATGCCCAGGTGAGTTGCCCTGATCAGGGACGTGGAAGGGAATGCAGTAGAAAGATGACATGGACAGAACGCGTGGGCGACAAAGGTGAACTCAGAGCTTTCACGGGCTTCCCTGGAGATTCGGGAGGGGGTGAAGGGATGGCGACGGGGGGGGGGGGGATGAGGGGGGGGGAGGGGCGGGGGAGAGAGGGGGGACAGGGGGGACGGGGGGGTGGAGGTGGGGGGGGGGAGGGAAGGGGTGGGGGGTCTGGCGGGGAGGAAGGGGTGGGTGGAGGGGGGGTAGGACAGACATGGGGCCCCTTGGAGAGAGGAGGTCGTGGAGCAGTTCCGCCGTCTCCCGCCTCCCTGGGGCCCCTGCGCCAGGACAGTCAACCGAAGCTCCTCGGGGTGAAGAGCCGGTCCCCGGTGCGATCCCCGGGTTCCAGGACCTGTCTCCACCAGGACTTATGTCGGGCCTGTCCCCCTACAGGGGGATTGTCGACGAAAAATAAAGAAAAAAAGCAAGAACACCCCAAAAAGGTCAAACAATATTCAAAAAATAGTTCCCGTTTTATGTTTGGACTATTCTTTGATTATTCTGGGGGTATTTTTGATTTTTCGTCGAAAATCCCCCTGTAGGGGGACAGGCCCGACGTAAACCAGGACCTTGTCCTCCCACGCCCAGAGAGTAGGACGCCTTCCAGTACTCTCACCTTGGCGCTTCAGCTCCCCAGGGGGCAATCTTCACTTCTTTTTGTGTGTGTTCAGTCCTCTGGCGGGTAGCGGTCGTCACCCCGCCCCCCCCCAGGTAATGGCAACGATCGTATTTCACCGAGCGCGTCCCGCTACTCGCAGAGTGCCCACTCGCAAACGTCCGAGAAACAGATGTCTGCTTCGATGAGATGCGTCGCAGATCCCCCGGGCGGATCCAGGCCATGTGCGAGCAGTTCTTTTGCGAGTGCCCATCGGCCCATCGGTCTTTGAAAGTAGGTATTCTTGGATTCCCAGAATCCAACCTACTTGAACCGCCTTTGTACTTCAATGGATCGAGTGGCTTCACCTTTTCCGTCCTCTTTAGGGAGCGGGCGGAGACCCAATCTATTTTCAACGCCTTCCTACTTCATGCGTTTACCTACTTCTTCCGACCGATGGGTAGTGGAGCCCGCCCGACTGGTATTTTCCGAGGGAGTTGGACTCCCCGCGCACGTGCTGGTGCGCGCGCGTACTACGGCGGTCGCAGCGCGCCCCCGCCCGAAAGTGCCCCGCCCCGCCCGAGCGTTGCTGCTACTCGGTCAGATCGTACGGTTGAAGATCGAGGTCGGCTCGGGGAGGGTACCCTGGTGCTTTTCGTCGACGAGGGACGAGGGAGAAGGGAGGATGGAGAGGTCTTCTCCTCTCCTCTCCTCCTCCTCCTCCTCCTCCTCCTCCTCCTCCTTCTCCTTCCTCCTCCTCCTCCTCCTTCCCCTCCTTCTCCTCCTCCTCCTCCTCCTCCTCCTCCTCCTCCTCCTCCCTCTCCTACCTGTGGTAGTGGTGGTGGAACATGGGCCCATCAGAGTCCGAGACCTTGGGGGGGACGTCTTGGATTGATCTTGAGATCTCCAGAGGCTGCCTCGAGCGAGTACATTGGATGCGGTAGCAACTCATGGGAGCTTGGTATACCCTCTGAATTTCCACTTTGGCGTGGATCAGCGTCGATTAGCGTTTAGATCGCTGAGATAGCGCCGATTTAGAGTAGGTTAGCGTCGATGAGCATCGATTAGCGTCGATTTAGCGTCGATTAGCGTCGATTCGCAAGAGCCGACAAGATGGTACAGGTGGCTCCCATGAGTTGCCACCGAAGGCACTTGTGTACCCTCGGAAGGGTACGCTTGGGTGTTCCGTGTGTGTTGGCCAGCGGAGGGTCTCGTGTTCTTGAATCGGGGGCGGAAAAGAGGGGGGTGATGACCAGGGGGGGGTGAATATCATGGCGTGGGCCATGATATTTCCCCAGATTTCATGGCGCCTGCACATGCCGCCGGTCATGATTTGCCCCCCCCCTCCTGGACCCCCCCCTCTTGGCCGCTCCCGATTGAAGGGAGTCATTCCTGTCCCAGTTCCGACCGTGCTCTGGCGGTCGCAGCGCGCCCCTGGCGCGACGTGCCCCGCCCGCCCTGCCCGAGCGTTGCCGCTGCGGTCGGACCCTGGCGCAAGATCGAGGTTGCTTCGGGGAGGGTTTCCCAGTGCTCGTCGTGTTTCAGCGGAGGTTGTTGTGCATTCTGGGGAGGGTACCTCTTTCAGCAAGCGAAGAACGGTATAACATAAACTTTTTCGCTGTCGGGGGCGTTTGTCCCTGGGCAGCTGGAAAGTTTATACTCATACGGTGCCACCGTAAGGGTATAAACTTCCCAGCCGCCCTGGGACAGGCGCGCCCGACAGCGAAACAGTTTATTGTATACGGTCCTTCGCCCGTTATATAACTCTTGGGTGTTCCATGCGTGCTGGCCAGCAGAGGGTCTCGTGTTCTTGAAGGATGCCCGCCCTGCCCGAGCGTTGCCGCTGCGGTCGGACCAGAGTGTAAAGACCGAGGTCGGTTCGGGGAGGGTAACCTGGTGCTCGCCGTGTTTGATCGAGGTTCTCGTGCACCTTGGGGAGGGTACCCTCAGCTCCATATCTGCGGTTCGAGTTGCTAGAGATTCTGTTTGATAGAGGTTCTCGCGGGCAATACTTCTGTCCATCTCCGCTGCAGCTTCGAGTTTTGGGCGCCCTGCCTCAGAAGCCCCAGGCGCCAGGGATACAGTCGGGGCGCTGAAGAAGGAACCCTTTTCGTTGGGGAGGGTCTTGGTGTTCCTTGATTGTTTCACAGCTTGCCTCAGGTTTTCCTCATGTTTTCGATGGGGAATCGAAGTTTTACTTATGGAAGAAGGGGCCTCGTTCCTTATTTAGGGTTCCTTAGGTTAACGCCCCGACTGTATGAATGAAGCTCTGGCACCTGGAGGCTCGCTTTTTTTATACAGATCCACTGCGCCTCCGGCGTGCGGCGCTCCTTCCAACAAAAGCGCAAGACGCACCGGATATGGATATCCATCTTGCCCGCAGTCACCGCCTGCCAAACCACCCCAACCCCACCCGAAGGAACCGATTTGCCCTCCATTTCCAGCGTGGGGGGGTCGGGGAACACGGAAAGCACACATCTGAAGCCCGTACCCCCCCCCCCCTCACACCTGAAATTCGGGCGATGTTCGGGTCTTCGGTTTGGGTTTGGGTGGTCTGGTAGGTAGTTACGCAGGGTTCCCTTCGGCGTTCCGTGTGTGTGTGTGTGTGCGTGCGCGGCGGATGTTCTCGTGCTTTTGGAGGATGCTCTCTTTGTCCCAGGTCCTACCGTACTCCTGGCGGTCGCAGCGCGCCCCTGCTTGGACGTGCCTCGCCCCGGCCGAGCGCTACCGCTGTTGGACATAGTGAAACATGCAATATCGCTGCGCCTAGTCTCAAGCAGTGTCGAAGCGTCCTGGCTCGCCTGCACGAAGGATTGTTCTAAGGGCCTGTTGTGGTCTGTACGACTTGTTCTCAGAACATTTCTTGCTGAGGCTGTCTTGGCTGAACACATCGGGTCTGTGTGATAAGACAAAGCTGTTGTTCGCTCTTAGAACGTTGTTGGGTTCCCGGAACATTTCGCGGAAGGCCTATTTGGGCGTTGCGTAATGGAGGGGTCATAAATGGGGGGGTGTCGCGGGTGGTCCGAAAAGGTACCCAAACGGTACCTAAACGAGCCCCCTGGGGCTCCAGAGGGGCCCGAAAGGGGCACGAAAGGGGACCGTTTCTGACCCCCCCATTTATGACCCCCCCACTAAGCCACGCCCAACCTATAGGAATGCCGGGACGGTCGGTCCCTGCTCAATAGTCGGGGAGGCGCGCCTTCATCCAGGGCGCCCTCGTTCGACGAGGGGACAACGCAATCAAACATCAGCTTTTGGCGCTCCGCGCGGAGCTCTCGGATCCGCGCTAAGGGCCCCTCCGGCGGCGCCGCCCCGTGGCGCGCTCCGCGCGCCCGGCAGGGGCACCCAGCGCAGATCCAAGAAATCCGTCCGGACCTCCACAAGTTTATGCTTATCGGATCGGGGGAGGACAGAACCCCCAATAGTGACACGTCGATTAGTGAATTGTCCGTTTTCGGTTTTCGAGAGGGCGCCGTGGCCGTTATTTTCCAGGGTTGCGTCTGCCAGGTTTGGGCCCGAGCCGAGGTCGTTTTCACTAAACCACGTTTTGCTAAAGGGGGTTCTGTCCATCCCCGATCGGAGTCCTAGAGATTGACACCAACACGAATATCGGCGGTGTGCCTCCACCGAGGGAAGACGATCCCGATCTCGGTGATGGTGGTAATATTATGGCTTCCAAGGTGACCGAAATATTACCACCCACACCGAAATCCAGGATCATCTTCCCCCTGTGGAGGCAACCCCCTGTGTTGGTGTTGGTGCCAATTTCCGGGCCTCCCACTCCACAAGTTTATGTTTACGCCGTTTATTCTTTCTCCACTGATGTCCTTGCCTCTGCGGCCCGCCCTTGGCCGCTTTCACCAGTCGCCCGCCGCCCAGAGAATCCGAACTCTGGCCTCCAAGGGCCTTGCGTTCTTCCCTGCGATCCGACGTTGCGAGACAAGTGCAGCATCGTAAATACTCACGCCCGGAGCTCTGGACGCCATCTTTCTGCGTCATTTTTCCAGCCGGATCGATCTGCGAGGGTCCTGGGGCCCGAAAAGAGGCGCCAACCGCCCAGCTCGAAAAAATCGGGACGCGGGGAACTCAGGGTCACCACGCGTCCTGAATACACGTTTTGATTGTGTCGTCGCGCCCGAGCCTTGGGACTCCTGGCAAGATGCGGCCTGGCCCGCAGCGGGTGATGCAGCCGCCGCCCGGCTACGTTGCGGCGGTGCGCCCGGCCGCCCTGGGGGGGTTCGCTTCGAGGCCGTCTGAGAGCCGCATGTGGACAGGCGCGTTCCACTGCTCGCAAATCAACTGCTCGCAAGTTGCCTGGATCCTCCACGGGGGTTTTACTCGGGGGAAAACAAACCTCCCTCGCTTGTGACCACCCTCGCTTCCAAGAGATACCAAACGGTGCCAAATTGCGGCCTGTACTGGTCAGGCCGCTTGACGAGGAGGCGCGTGGTATGGCTTGGTTTTGCCTGGAAGCGAAAGCGGGGGAGGTAATTCACGCTCTGATTTACGATGTATTACATTCGACTACATGTAAGAGTGACCTTTCGCCGGAGTGACCTTTGGTGCGGGCACAATGGGGTCCCCCGACCACTGATTGCGATGCAATAGTAGCGTCTTGCGCGCCTGAGTTTGGTCCCCTCGCGGCCCCCCAAAAGCCGCGCACCGAAGGTCACTCTTACCCAGGGTCACTCTTGCGTGTAGCCGATACATAGAGGAATACCTGTATGTTTCGGACGTTTGCGAGTAGGCACTTTGCGAGGAGTGGAGCGCGCTCGGCGAAGATGAGCGATGCACAAAGGGCCTTGCCTTCAAGGGTCGAATGAGTTGCCTCCTCTTCCTCGGGGGAAGGTGGCGGAAGGGCAGCGGAAGGCGGCGGAAGTAAAACGAGGCCGCCTCCGCCGGCGGAAGCCGGCGGAAGAAACGGTCGACCTCCCGATGAGATGACAACATCTTGGGGCTTATGGTTTCCGGAATCCGCCTTATGAGCGAGGCGCAAAAGCGGGGTCGGTTGCGCGGACATTCGCGCGTAAGTTGCCCGCGTAAGCTCGCGCCTAAGCACCCTCGTTTCCAACGTGGCGTGCCGCGCTGGCGGCCTGCGTAAGCTGCGCCGTAAGGTCGCTGTGCCTTCTCGCGTGCGGCCCGCCTCTTGTCGTCGTCCACGTCGAGCCAGAATTTGCGAATCCTTCGAGCCGCCTCGAGAACGACTTGCCCGTTCAGGCTCCTGATATCCGAGAAGTGTCCACGAGGGCATCCTGGAGCCCTCCTGTGGACGTGGCCAGCCGGAGGTCGGCGCAGATCGAGCAGCCGGTCCCGGACCCCCAGACGCCGCGCAGATATCGAGCAGCGGGGGTCGACGCAGATGGAGCGGCCCCCCAAGAGCCGCGCACCGAAGGCCTCTCTTGCCCAGGGTCGCTCTCGCGTGCAAGCCGCTGCAGGAGCTCCGCGTCCGGGCTCGCGCCTCGGCGCAGCGGCCTCGCGCAGCGCCCCCCCCTCCCCACCGGGAGAGAGCGCCCCGGCCACGCCGCCCAGTCCGCCCCCCCCTTCTGGGGGGGGCAGGCGCCGCCTCCGACGGGTCGCGCGGCGCCTCGACCCCCCGCCTGTCGGGAGGGGGGGGCCCTGGGACGCACACAAAAGACATGCACACAAAGCACAGGCTCCCCGATACATGTCCCATATCTTCTGGGTTTCTGTCTTCCCCCCCCCACTTCCCAGGCCCCCCCCCCGCCTGTGGGCGGGGGGGGGCCCTGGGACCCACAGAAATAAATGCACACAAATCACAGGCTCCCCCTTACTTTCCCAAGATGTTCTGGGTTTCTGTCTTCCCCCCCACACTGCCCATATTTTCCTATATTTTCGGAGGAATCGATGATTCATTGTGTCTGCGTGCTTTTTCCCCTCCTGAACCTGGGGGGGGGGGTAGGGCGTTGGTGGCGCCAAGGTGCCTTGGTCCAGTGGGGACGGGCGGGGGGTTAGGGTGTTGGTGGCGCCAAGGTGCCTTGGTCCAGTGGGGACGGGCATCGGAATCATTTTTGCGTCGAGCGCTGCCTTGGATGCAACCCCTGGGAGGTCAACTTCTGAGTGTGCCCTGGTCCGCTTGATCGGGCTCAATCCCGCTGGAATCTCGCCGAATCCCCCCTGATCTGGTCTAAGCCCGTGTAATCCGCGGCCTCATTCGGCGTAGCAGCCCCCCAGTGGGCGTTAACCTTCCTCACAGTGAAAGTCCATCGTAAAGACGGGTAACCTTCCCAAGGGCCCCCCTGCGCCCTTAGACTTGTTCCGCAGTGCGCCACTGGAAAGAAGCGTCAACCAGGGCGCCCAAGGACCGCCCCCGGGTCTTGCGTCCTGGCAGCGCGCCCTTACCCTACAGACTTTGATCGCAGTCCTTCCGACGAAGACCTCCCAGCAGTTGCCTCCCAGCAGGCAGGATTGTTCGGGGTAGGACAGAACCCCCAACAGTGACACGTCGATTAGTGAATTGTCCGTTTTCGGTTCTCGAGAGGGCGCCGCGGCCGTTGTTTTCCAGGCTTGCGCCCGCCAGGTTTGGGCCTCAGGTCGTTTTCACGAAACCACGTTTTTCACAAGGGGGGGTCTCTCCATCCCCGAATTGTGCTTCGAGCGATCCCCAGTTGAGAACGCGGTGCGGGATCACCGGGGCGCACCGGCACCCGTTGGTGCTTGGCGGCCGAGGCGTGCGGTCGTCGCTCGTCTTGAGTCGGGCACGTCCCTCTACAGGAGGAATATTCGCAGGAGGAGAAAAAACACACAGACACAATTAATCCTCGATCCCAAAAAACATGGGAAAATATGGAAAGTGGGGGGGGGAAGACAAAACCCAGAAAATATAGGAAGATATGGGGAATCCTTTTATTTGTGTGTATCTATTTGTGTGTCCTTGGCCTTCAAAAGTAGAAAAAATACAATACGGGGACGAGTTTTCTATTATGTCTTCACCATCTCTGAATATGTTCTGACTTTTTGATTTTTTCCTCCAAAATCTGCCTGCAGGGGGACATGCCCGACCGACCTGACGCTCGTCGAAGGCGCGAGGCGGGATCCCTCAGGGACCACCTCCGCACTCTGGGCCCGGCGGCCGCAGTATGCAGGGCGTGTGAGGTTGCTCGGTGTCCAGGCCCCCTACCGAGCCACGAAGCAATGCCGACGGGAGGTGTTTCGTTCTCTTCGGCCTCCGGGGGCCCCCCGACCGGGCCACGGGGCCGTCCGAAGACGACGCAGAATGAGCAGCCGGTCCCGGGGAAGGGCTCCAGACCTTTGGGGGTCGACGCTGTGAAGGAATCACGACGCCAGGGGTCTGGGGAGGTGGGCTGGGGGAACGAATAGTGACATAAGCAGAAAGACTCGGAGGGCCGCGCGGATTTCTCGGATCGGCGCTGGACACCCCTGCCTGCCGCGCGGAGCGCGCCAGGGGCGGCGCCGGAGGCTCCCTCATTCGGATTCAGTGCGGGTCCGAGAAATCTGCGCGGACCTCAGAGATTTTACGTTTATGTCATTCTTTGTTGCTATCTTTCGTCCCCACGCCGTCCACAACCTCAACCTGTGGGTCGGGGGACACAGCTATGCTCGTTAGAGGCGGCGGCACCTGGTGCCCTGCGGGCTCTGCGGCCCGCTGTGGCACTTTACTTTGGGGTCGGCACGCTCGCAGGCGAGCCGAGGCTTGTGCAGGCGTCGGTCGGGCTCTGGGCGGGACTCCGGCGATGCCAACATGGATGAAGGGGGGCGTGGAGTAGCAGTGATCGTTGTTTGATTCACTGTTTGCCGGAGCCAGACCCCCCCCTCCCCACCCCTTCCGCCCAATGTCGAAACGCCGAATAAGAAAACGCTCATTTAGCGTTACGTCGGGAGTATCCGTCTACAGGAGGAAGATTCAGAAATACTGGGAAAATTAGTCTAGGGACGATTTTCCCGTATCGTATTGTCGAACATTTGTTGTGTATGTTCTGTGTCTTTGCTATTTTTCCTCAAAAAACCGCCTGTAGGGGGACATGCCCGACCTAAGATTAGCGACGGGTCCCGTTTCCATGGGAAGTCGCGGATTTCCGCCGCCGGATGAGGCGGCACCGGCCGCATGTTGGGGAGGGGACCTCCCCCGATCCATGGATTTGGCGACCGCGCGCCAAATCCATGGATCGCTACAGTCGGGGCGCTGAAGAAGGAACCCTTCTCGTTGGGGAGTGGCTCCGTGTTCCTTTATTGTTTTACAGCTTGCCTGAGGTTTTCCTCACGTTTCCGATGGGAATCAAAGTTTGACTTATGGAAAGATGGGGCCCCGTTCCTTATTTAGGGTTCCTTAGGTCAACGCCTCGACTGTAATCCATGTCTGCGCGCCCACGAGGGACACGTGGTGGGTCTGACATTCCGGGGGGGGAGGGCTGGGCAGACCTCTGGCGCTCCGCGAGGTGCAGCCCGCCGCGCCGCAGCAGGCGGTGCAGCCGCCTCCCGCCGGCGGCGCGGCGCCGGTGCCTGGGAGGGGCAGCCAGGCGTCAAGTCGGGCACGTCCCTCTACAGGAGGAAAATTCAAACATAACCTCATGCCCGTGAGAATAAACACTAGGGGATAATCAAGTTCGGGGTTCAGGGAGAGATAATAAAAGTAGCCCAGCAGACCTCAGCATAATCTCCAAGTAAGAGATGATCAAGAGGAGACCAAGCCGAGCACGTTTTGAGACATCCTTGGCGTTTAGTTTTCATAGAAATATCCTCAACAATGGCTTATCTCGCTGGAGACATCCTCGACAAATCCCTTGTTTCGCTTGAGACATCCGCAAACTATTGCTTATTTCGCTTGAGACACAGTCAAACTATTGCTTATTTCGCTTGAGACATCCTCGAAATAAAGTTCAGGCGGGCGGAGGAATGGAGGAAGCTATATATAGATATAAAGAATAATAAAAAAGAATAAATAATAAAATGAAAGAAATGACAGGAGGAGGAGAAGGAGGAAAAGAAGACAAACACTAGAGTTTCAAATCTATTAGATTTTATTTACAAGCGTTTTTTGAAAATCGTATTTTGTAAGTGCTCGTGTAGGGTAGCTCATGTGCTTCAATTTCCATGGATAATCAACCCCAGAGATAAAAAAGTTCAGGCGAGCGTGGGGACAGAGAGAAATATAAAAGAAGAAGAATACAGTAGAATAATAATAAGAAAGAAGAAGAAGAGGAGAATAAGAAGAGGACGAAGAAAGGAAAAATCCAAAGTTCCAAATCTATCAATTTTAATGTACAAACGCTTTATGAACATTGATTTTTTAAGTGCTCGTGTAGGGTAGCTCATGTGCTTCATTTTCCATGGATAATCAACCCCAGGGATAAAAAAGTTCAGGCGAGCGTGAGGACAGATAGAAATATAAAATAAGAAGAGGAAAGTAGAATAATAATAATAAGAGAAGAAGAAGAGAAGAAGAAGACGAGAAGAAGAACGGAAAAATGGAAAGTTCCAAATCTATCAATTCTAATTTACAAACGCTTTATGAAAATTGATTTTTGTAAGTGCTCATGTAGGGTAGCTCATGTGCTCCCCTTTCCATGGGTAATCAACCCCATAGATAAAAAAGTTCAGGCGCGCGCGGGGATATATACATATATAAAAAAGGAAGATAATAAAACATATAAATAAAAAGAAAACAACTTGCTGGTTTAGCTTGAAACATCCTTGAGACATCCTTGGAACATTGCTCGTTTCGTTTGAGTCTGCCTCCCAAACTTTTTGGTTTCGCTTGACACATCCTGAAAAAGTGTGATCGCTTCGCTTGATGTTGCTATATCAACATCGCTTGATGTTGCTATCTCAACATAGCGTTTCGAGGTGATAATGAAGTTCGGCCTCAGCGCTCGCCGCCCAATTTGAATTTTGTATAGGGCGACGATAATCAACTCTAAACACTGAAGGGGGGGTCCCTTTATTATCATCGGCATGCGGTTAGTTTGTTTTTTTAGATGTCTGGGGTCGACTGCTCGATTTAAAAAAATGTCTGGGGCCGATGCTTCGATCATTCGTGAAATATCCCTGAACATTTTCTGACAAGCTTCTACTTGTCGTCCAAAATCCGCCTGTGGGAGGACATGCCCGACCTGAAGCTAGGCTCCGGGACAGCGTTAGTCAGAGGAGAAAGAGGTACCCCTTCTGCCATCCTTGCCTCGTCTTCCCCTCGTTGGCCTCCTGGGAGGCCCTCTCCGCCACCGCTGGATCCGCCTCGCAGTCCTGGTCAGAATGCACAGCATCAGGAGGAGAAAAAACACACAGACACAATGAATCCCCGGTTCCCCAGAAAAGATGTGAAGATATGGGAAGTGGGGGGGGGGGAAGACAGACATCCAGGACATATGGGAAAATCTGGGGAATCATTTCATTCGTGTGCATTTATTTGTGTGTCCCAGGGCGCCTTCACAGTAGCGGTATCGGTGCCGTTTGGTTCCCGAGTTTGGCAGAGACGGGCTCTTTGGGGTCGGAGCAGCACGGCGGGCACTCCTCGGCAGCCGGCCGCACGTGGAGCTTGCCTAAACAGCCTATAGTCAGGAGGGGGAAAACACACAGACACAATTCATCGTCGATTCCCCAGAAAATATGGGAAAATATGGGAAGTGGGGGGAAGACAGAAACCCAGAGAAAATATGAAGATATGGGGAATGGTTCTATTTGTGTGTCTGTGTTTGCGTGTCCTGGGGCCCCTTCATATAGGTGTAAGGCCGGTGCTTTCCAAGAAGCAGCCTCCATCTGAGAAGCCTTCCCCCCTCCCGCGACCCTCTGGTGCGCCGCGCCAAGGCACGACTTCGCACGGTTCTCTGGCGAGGGGTGGGGCGTCGGGGCGCCAGCGCCGTCCCCGGCGGGACGCGAGGGCGACCCGGGGCTGGCGGCTCACTGGGGCCTTGCCAGCCGCCTGCCAGCTACACGTCAGGGTGCTCGTTCGCCAGAGCGACCTTTGCAGCGCGGTTGTCGGGGGGCCGCGGGGGGGCCAGCCCCAGGCACGCGGGCCACTGCTGTCGCATCGCGCGGAACGATCGGCGAGCCGCGCTCCAGAGGTCACTCTTGCGTGAAATTGGCCGAGTCTGGCAAGGCTCCTCCTCCTCCTCCTCCTCTTCCTCCTCCTCCTCCTCCTCCGCCTCCCTCTTCTTCCTCCTCCCTCCTCGTCCTCCTCCTCCTCCTCCTCCTCCTCCTCCTCCTCCTCCTCCTCCTCTCCTCCTCCTCCTCCTCTCCTCCCTCCTCCTCCTCCTCATCCTCTGCTCCTCCTCCCTTCTCCTTCTCCTCATCGCTCTCCTTCTCCTCCCTCTTCTTCTCCTCCTCTCTCCTCCTCCTCCTCCTCCCTCTCTCCTCCTCCTCCTCCCTCTCTCCCTCCTCCCTCCTCCTCCTCCTCCTCCTCTCCTCCTCCTCCTCCTCCTCCTCCTCCTCCTCCTCCTCTCCTCCCTCTTCTTCCTCCTCCTCCTCCTCCTCCTCCTCCTCCTCCTCCTCCTCCCTCCTCCTCCCTCCTCCTCCTCCTCCCTCTCCTCCTCTCCTCCTCCTCCTCCTCCACCTCCTCCCCCTCCTCCTCCTCCTCCTCCTCCTCCTCCCTCCCTCCTCCTCCTCCTCCTCCCTCCTCCTCCTCCTCCTCCTCCTCCTCCTCCTCCTCCTCCTCCTCCTCTCCTCCTCCTCCTCCTCCTCCTCCTCCTCCTCTCCTCCTCCTCCTCCTCCTCCTCCTCCTCCTCCTCCTCCCCTCCTCCTCTCCTCCTCCTCCTCCTCCTCCTCCTCCTCCTCCTCCCCTCCTCTCCTCCTCTCCTCCTCCTCCTCCTCCTCCTCCTCCTCCTCCTCCTCCTCCTCCCTCCCTTCCTCCTCCTCCTCCTCCTCTCCTCCTCCTCCTCCTTCTCCTCTCTCCTTTCCTCCTCCTCCTCCTCCTCCTCCTCCTCCTCCTCCTCCTCCTCACTCTTCTTCTTCTCCTCCCTCCTCCTCCTCCACCTCCTCCTCCTCCTCCTCCTCCTCCTCCTCCTCGCGCGTGTTGTCGTGCCGCTCGTGGGGGCAGCAGCCCAGTGGGCCAAAATGGGTTGCGTTGCATCCTCGGGCACCCTTGTCTTTCCTGTACATTGCTGTGTGTGTTTTTTTAGGGGAACTAAGAATGACAGAAACATAAAAACTTGGAGGTCCGCGCGGATCTCTCAGATCCGCGCTGGACTGCCCTGGTTGCGCCTCCAGCACCGCCCCTGGCTCGCTCCGCGCGCCAGGGACGCGGACCTCCGACATGTTTGTTTATGTCACTCTTCGTTCCCCTATTTTGCATTCTACGCTTGCGACGTGGATTCGACACGTATTCTGCCCGGATTCGAGGTTCGGCGCGGATTCGGCGGGGATCGGCACGGGGGGACAGAGAATGCCCTTTGAACATGCATCACAACATTGAGGTGCGCCGAATTCTCGTTACCCAGGTGCTCCAGGGCCAGTTTGAGGCCATTCGTTCATATTGCCAGGCCGCAGGGGCTTGGAAGGGCGAAAGGCGCGTTCTCGTGTTTTTTTTTTTGTCAGTGACGACGTGCATATTATGTTGTGTCGTACTTTCTACTCCCTGCCCATCATATCTGTGAGCGGCGAAGAGGAGTGGGATCCAGATGCGTCCTATCGCCAACACCGCTCACTCCTCTGGCGCCGCCTCGGCTGCGTGGCCGTACTCGCCGGCCGTGCTCCAGTGCCGGGCGGGTGTTGGCAAGGCCAGCAAAAACAGGGGGAGGGGCGTCGACCTAGTGGTCGTGCTCGTATTCGTTGTTTTTGCCGATCGGGGCGGGCCTCCACCCCCCCCCCCTCCCCCCCCATGGAGTAGATCTCGGCTGTTTTCTGCGCCTGTTTCGGGCGGGTGGAGTCTCCCCCAGAGACCGCACTCTTGCAAGCAGTCGCACTAATCAGAGGTCTGGAGCCAGAACCCCCCCCCCCTCCCCCCCCCCTCCCCTTGCCGCCCAAGGTCGAAACTCCGAATTTACAGAAAAACTTCACCTAGCACACGAGATTGATGATGTTCCAACCTAATTTAGCCCTGGTCACCAGGAATAATAGAATTTCGAGCACCGGGAAAGTACCGACATGTGAGGGTTTCACGTGTCTGGCCCTGGGAGGCGATACGCGTTCGACACTGTTTCGATACTCTCCTGGGTGCTCGAAATTCTGTCTGGGAGTTGGTCCTGAAGTACGATGGGGGCAACATTACACGAGATAAGGTGTGTCTGCCTTTCTCTCCTGGATGGTGAGGGCGCGTGCCACGCTCTGCCTTGACCTCCCTGCCGTTCGAGCAGGGCCCGCCAGAGAGCAGGCCCCGCCGGCCTCAAAGGCTGAGGGCGGGCGCTCTCTTCGGCGGGCCGCGGAGTGAGCCGTTCTTGTGCGGATTCCTCGTGTTGGCGCCTTGCTTAGATGGTCCTTTGGGGGACCGTCCTGGGGCCCGCCTGACGGATCTGTTCGGCTCTAGTTCGAGCCCAGCTCGATTCGAGTTCGATTCGGGTTCGATTCA